CTGCAAGCTAAGCTCGCGCTCGAGCTCAATTCCAGAACGTCATTTGCGCCTCCCCGATTCCACGAGGCTCTGGTTTTGTGTGTGCCCTCTTGAACAGCACTCCCTCTGTCGTTCTCTGTCGCCTCAGCCGTCCTGTCGTCATTTGGGAGTGGATCTGCTCTCCTGCTCGAATGTGAGAGCTGATGGAGGGGAGCGGGCCACCTGATCTTGGCGACTCGCCCGGGGCGGAGCAAGTCAAGGAGGGGGGGCTCTCGCCGGCTGACGATCTAGCCACACCAGTTCTGCTCACCAGCCGTGGCGCAGCAGCCAAGCCGCCCCCTGCATGGGCCGTCAAGAAGCCCGTTGTCAAGGGCGAACCTGCCGCCGCCGACAATGGTTTGTTCGATGCCGACGACGAGCTCGAGATGGCTGGCATGATGAGGGAGATGGCCGATGAGGAGGTGGCGCGGGCGGCGGAGTTGGCGACCTACCAGGGGGAGTCGGATGACGACGAGATGACGTGCGGCAGGGATCGGCATGGTGTAGCTGTAGCTGTAGCAGCGGCCGGAGGGGGCGATGCGGGTGTCGGTTCTGGTGGACGTGGGCGTGGACGTGGGCGTGGGCGCAGCGTGCGTCGCTCGCCTCGCGAGAGTGTGCGGAAGGCACGCAGGAAGCGGTGAGTTGAGGCGGGCGGGAGTGGCGATTGATGCATGTCTGTCCACCCATCCATCCATCCGTCCATCCATGTGTTTGTGTGTGTCAGGTATGTGGTGGAGAAGGATGACGATGACGATGACGACGGCGATAATGACGACGAGTGGCTCAACGACGGGTGGGCTGGGGGGATGGGATGGGGGGAGGGGGGATACCCACGACACAGAGAGGGGAGGCAGGGAGGGAGAGAGTTGGTCGGCGATGACGACGCCCACCCTTATGCTGCAGCGGCAGGTGCGCATACGACGTGACCACACGAGTCACAGGACGCACCCCACACTCTCTCTGCGTGTTAGTTACCTGTTGTGTGCTGGTTGCTATGTGCTGTTCCCGTCGACTCAGCGGCTGGTGGTGGTCCTAGTGGTGGTCCTCGTGGTGGTCGTGTGCCCGACCCGCTCAGTGGTCTGCCCAAGAACTGGAACGAGGCCCACAAGAACCCCATCCAGCCCTTCCTGCTGCCACACGCACTCGACCAGAGCTCAGACGACGACAATGACGCACACGTAACCACACCACGCCGCCCCGCACACACACACACACATACATACGCTCACACAGTCAGATGGGGCAGTGTAGGCGTACCTGCTGTGTTTGTGTCAGGTTGGTGGGGATGATGGCGATGGCGATGGTGGTGCAGGTGCAGGTGCAGGTGCAAATGGTGTGATGAAGGCCGTGAAAAGGTCGTCACTCATCAAATTTGAGGCCCACCCGCACCCTGCGACACTTGCAGAGGTATCTATCGCACTCACGCACCCACGTGACGTAGGTATCGATCCAGAATACACACGCCACGCGTGTGTGACTGTGACTGACTGACATGTCTGTCAGTCGACCACGATCCATGCGGTGTCTTTGCCACCTCTCCGACACGGGCAGAAGCTCTACATACCAAAGGGTGTTAGTTTGTGGCCGGTGTGGCCGGGGGAGGGAGGGATGTACAGCACCGTGCTCTTAACCACCCACCCCTCGCTGTGCTCTGCTGTGTTGGTGTTGTGTATGCGTTGACGCTTCTGGCGGTGGTGGTGGTGGCATCGTCTGCAGATTTGTCATCGAGCACGGCCTGTAACACACACATACTCATACACACAAACCGATCCATCCATCCATCCATCTTGTGTGTGACTGTTGCCTTGTGTGCATCAGGTTGTCGAGCATCCAACTGGAGTCCCTCATCCAGGCATCCCGCTGCTCAGACAAGGTAGGTACCCCCTCCCCGCTCCCACACACGACCACATTCAACCAACGCAGGCAGCCATATAGATGCCCTTGTTGCGACGTAGATCTTGGGCTCGTGCATGCGAGGAGGGTACTGTCTGGGCGACGGAACCGGCAGTGGCAAGGTCGCACACACACATACACCTGCGACAAGCCGGCAGAAACCATGCTCGTCCATCCATCCATCCATCTGTATGTGTCGCATGGGTTGGCAGGGCCGGGTGCTGACTGCGTTCGTGGGCCACATCAACCAGAAGCAGGCACGCACCACACACACGCACTCTTTGGCACCATGCCATGTGTGTCTGTCTGTCTGTCTGTGTGGGTCGCGAATGTGTGTAGGGTCTCACGAAAAACAAGCGCCACGCGTACATTTCTGTCAACCCCGACCTGCTCATCGACCTGCAAAGGGACAACCGTAGGCTCGCACCGCACCCAGAAATGTCTGTTTGTCTGTCTGTCTGTCTGTCTGTGGTGGTGACACAGGCGACCTGCGTGTGGGTCTGCCGATCGCCGATGTGCGCGGGCTCAAGTGGGGCTTCTTCACAGGCCGCGACAACAAACCCATGCTGCAGGGCAAACTCGGCAACGACCAATGTGCGTATGCGTGTTAACACAATGCAATGCAAAACCCCCGCATTGCACCCGCAGCGTGCGCTCTCTCATTCTCTCTCTCTCATTCTCTCTCTCTCTCTCTGTGTGTGTGTGGGTGGGTGGGTGGGTGGTCATCCATCACATACCTCACTGGATCAATCGATGCAGGCAACGGCGTGCTGTTCTGCTCCTACCCGTACCTCGTCAAGTCCAAAGACAAGGGCGTCGCCGAGCGCATCAGGGCAGGCGACGAAACCGTCCTCACCGACCCAAAGTAACTAACTCAGCGAGCCAGTCAGCCAGCCAAGCCACCATCTACAGGCCACACATCTCACTACGCCACGCGCAGCGCAGAATTGCATTGGATTGCATCGGTCGTTCGTTCGTTCGTTCGTTCGTTCGTGTGTGTGTGGACGTCAGGCAGTGTCGCTTCGGTGCGTTGTACGAGTGGCTGGGCGGCGCGGAAGCCGAGGGCGCCATCGTGTTCGACGAGTCACACAAGGTAGGTCCCTCACACACACTGAGGGAGGGGCTGGACGTGCCGATGCATCTCCAATGGAATGTCCTTCGTCTGCCTGTCTGCCTGCTTTGGTCAGGCCAAGAACATCGCGCCACGTATGCCACACACAGGCCGCACGACACACAAGCCAAGCCATGCAGCACATTGTGTGTGTGTGTGTGTGTGTGTAGATCTCAAGAAGCAGGCCACGGGCAACGAGTTCGAGCGTGGGCCCAGCCGCTTCAATCCAAACAGCGAGGAGAACAGACCCAACGGCGGATCGCTCTCGGCCATACTCGCCGTGTCACTGCAGGCAAGCCACACACACCTACACACACATGCCCACAGAGGGAGGGAGGAGGGAGGGAGGGAGGGAGGGCGAGAGGTGCTTTGTTGTCAGCACGTGTGTGTGTGTGCCATGGCTATGCATGACAGAGGATGTGTCCGAAGGCCCATGTCATCTACGGCTCGGCAACCGCGGCTGCGGAACTGCGAAATGTGGGCTATATGGAGCGCCTGGGCGTTTTTGGTGAGCAGGGCAGGGCAGGGCAAGGCAAGGCAAGGCAGAGGAGCGAAGGAAGCAGCCCCCCCCCCCCCCCCCCCC